AAAAAAACACACAAAGTAAAGTAATATATCAGGGGAAATATATTAATGTAACACTCCTTATCCATATCACACCATAGCAAACTGAACCATCTTTATCCAAAAATAGAGCGCTAATCCGGCGCTATCCATTTTATTTATTGCTAACGCATCATCATATTGCTGTCTCAAAATATATTTTAAACTTCACTAATGTTCTCATTATCTTATGAGAATAAAGGCCACGACCACATTCCTCGGGTCAACACTCATTTGTATTTTTAATAACATTATCCTCATTTTAAGTAACGTTGTTTCCGTAAACGTACAAAAATATTGCATTGGAACAGCGACGATTTAATGTTGATTATTGACTTATAAACAAAAGGTGTCCTCTTAATTAATTCTAGAGCTTTTATTTTAGAGCTTTTATTAAATAGCTTCACAGCTAACGTACTTTAAAAACTAGCACAGCTTCACTACAGGCTCCAATCATTTCACAAAACAGTGTTGTTGATCGGGGTTAAAAAACAAATGGCCTATCAGCAGTTCTGGACTTTCTGGGCAACGAGCGCCTACAGTTTCATCTTTCCGGGGTCAGAAAATGTGCAAATTAAATATCAGGCCACACACTCTGCAGAATACGTTGGAAAACAACAACTTTTGACCCATGATGCGTTCAGAGACTTCAGTCAAAGGGAGAAGGTGGACAGTTTGGAAACTACTCTTTCCAACTGCTAGTTAGCTTAGCATAAAGACTGTAAACAATGGGAAACAGCTAGCCTCTGACTGATCCAGCACTTCTTAAACTCATACATTAATTATTTAATGCTTGCAAAAACCCAAATAAAACAACGGTAAATACACAACCCTCTGTAAAAGAACAATTACCGCTTCAACATCATGATTATTATCAAGATATTAAGGTCAACTGCACAGAGCCAGGCTAGCTGTTTCCAGTCTGTATGCTAAGCTAGGCTAACAGGCAGCTAGCTTTAGTTCCATTTGTCTTTTGGCACAAACACAACATGATTACTAATTAAAAAAAACTCCAGTACCGTTTTTCTGCCCCTGGACAGTGAATACAGTGAAACCTGAAAGGACGACCTTTGACCTCTAGGCGTCCGTGTTGCCGTTCTCCTCCGGCTGCAGCTGCTCCTTCTCAGTGCAATCCTCCTGGGGGGGTCGCACTCGCTTAAAGAAACCCAGCTGAGGAGCAAGAGAAGAAGAAGGAGGTTTGTTTGTGTACAGTGGGAGAAGTACTCAGATCTGGCACTTGAGTAAAAGTAGAAGTACTCAGATCTGGTACTTGAGTAAAAGTAGAAGTACTCAGAAATTGTGCTAGAGCAGCTGCAGCATTAACTCCCTTTCAAAAATAAAAGCCTGGCTGTGTTCTCACCTTGTACATGATGAAGATGAGGAGCGCCAGGAGCAGAAGACCCGCCAGAACCGCCAGCGCCACCACCCAGCCGGGCACCGAGGTGTGGACCTCCATTACCCATGTCACCGACAGACTCACCTGCACACACACACACATACGGGTCAATGTGAACTAAAAGGACACTTTTCCACTTGCTCCACAAATTATGTTGAATATCAAAACATCTATTTTTAACCGTGGAACGTACATCGCACTTCAAATGTTGAATACACAAAACACAACTCAAAAGAGAACAACCTGAGACCATGGTGAACTATGAGGACATTAGATAATGAGATGCATAAACTCCGCTCATGACACAAATGGTAATTGTCAGGACTAACTGAATTTGTGAGGACAGAAGCTATACAACACACAAATATGTCACACACACACACACACACACACACACACACACACACACACACACACACACACACACACACACACACACACACACACACACACACACACACACACATTCATGTGATTATTCTACATAATTCTTTGTATGGCCCATCAAGGTATCCGCGTTAACGTGTTACACTAGTTTGTTGTTTTCAATCGTAACTAAAGCTGTCCATTTTTTGGGATAAGTAACTCAAACTAAAACACTTCCCTTTGAGATGTGGGGAGATTACAAATGGAAAAGACTCAAGTAACTGAAAACTGTGAATAAGGTGGTACTTTAGTTACTCATTTCAGGTATGTTAGAATATTTTTTATACAGTATTTGTGTATTTGTACCTCGTAGACGTGTACTATCTGCGGCCCGATGTCGTCTCCGACCACCGGAGGCTCTCGAGGTTTCCAGTTAGCGATCGGGAGCAAAACCTGACCAGGAGAGGAACTCCTGAAACACAGGAAGTAAGGAAAGGAAGGAATGAAGGAAGGAAGAGGGAAAACATCATATCAATGAAACCAGATAATTACAGCTTGAATGTGTTGTATAGCTTCTGTCCTCACAAATTCAGTTAGTCCTGACAATTACCATTTGTGTCATGGGCGGAGTTTATGCATCTCATTGTGTTTTGTGTATTCAACATTTGTATGAAAGGGATGTCCCTCTAATGATACAAAAAACTTGTTTGGGGAGAAGTGTCCTTTTCACATTGACCCGTCCGTCTGTCCGTGTCCGTGTGTGTGTGTGTGTGTGTGTGTGTGTGTGTGTGTGTGTGTGTGTGTGTGTGTGTGTGTGTGTGTTTGTGTGTGTGTGTGTGTGTGTCATTACGGTGGTGCTGTTGGACGGCAGCTCTGACACCAGGTTCTTGTACGGCATCTGGATGACGTTGAAGGTCGCCGTGGATCGAACCATGTATGATCGATTCTGATTCTCAGTCTGAGAAGGAAAATACAAACACAGATAAATAAGTATTTTCTTTTTATGTTGTCGGGCAGGTTCTGAGTTTCTTCTTCTGTGTTTTTTTTACCCGCAGGAAGTTGTTGACGGCGAGTCTGGAGTAGATGAAGAGGATGGCGTTCTTCCTCCTCTCCAAACGACCCACCTGACACTTCAGACGCAAACACTGAGCTGTGCTGCAGTCCTAGGGGGGAGAAAGGAAACAAGAAAGAAGGAAAGGAAGGAAGGATGAAAGGAAGGAAAGAAAATGTAAGGAAGGTAGGATGTTGGGAGGAATGGAATGACAGAGAGTAGGAAGGAAATAAGGGAGAGAGCAAGGAAGTGAGAAAAGGAAATAGAATAAATGAAGGAAACAAGAGAGAAGGGAAGGAAGGAAGGACATTTGTGAGATAAATAAATAATGGTGACTCGATTTTTTTATTATCGCTCAACAATTTTGTAGCAATAACGCTGTGTGTGTGTGTGTGTGTGTGTGTGTGTGTGTGTGTGTGTGTGTGTGT